CCTAAGAGTCACAAATAGAGTTGTAAACGAGTCGAGTTTAGGCCCTTATCGAGCTCGGCTCGTTAGATGGAAAGCGAGCTCGAGCTCGAACTCAAGCTCGTCTCACTGAAAACGAGCTCGAGCCGGCTCGTCAGCCATGGACGGAAACTTTTCAATTTAGGAGGGAGTTTTAAAAATTTTAAAAATTGGCGGGTTTTTTAAAATTTAAGTGGGATTTTAAAAACTTAGACAAAATTTTTTAAAAAATATGAAATGTTTAACATTTAAATAAAATTTAGGTGATTATTATTATTATTTTTTAATATTTAAATTTAATAAATAAAATAAAATTATTTTAAAAATATTAATATTTATTAGAACCGGCTCAAGCTCGAACTTGACTCACGAACTTGATAAGCTCGGCTCATGAGCCCATAAATGAGTTGAGCTCGAGCCGGCTCAGCTCACTTACACCCCTGGTAACAACTACTCCCTCAAGTGAGGGTAAAAAAGGAAAAACTATGATAATAAATCAAATCACATATAATAATAATAAACCTAATATAAATGATAGCTCAAAAATAAAATGGTACAATCGTAGTAGTACATCGTCGGCCCTTTATCTGGTAGACTCTCCATGGTCGGATGTCCTCATCAGACAGTTTCTAATTTAATTATTTTATCAAACAGTCCATAAATGTTTGCAAAAATTAAAAAAAATTATATCTATATTAACCTAGAGGATTTTGACACAATAAATATTTAAACCATATTTATAGTTTATGTCATGTAGGCCACTTAATATATAAAAATAAAAAGAAATATAACATTCATGCACTTAGCACATGTAATATCAATGAATTTAATAGTTTAAATATAATATAACAACAACAGCAATATCAAGCCTTTATCCCACTATGTGGGGTCGGCTACATGAATCCTTTTTCTCCATTATATACTGTTAAGAGTCAAATTCTCATTTAAACTTAATAAAAAATGTCATTTCTAATTTTTTCTAACCAAGTCTTTTTAGGTCTACCTCTACCTTAACATAAGTCAAATCTAATACACCTACTTTCCTAACTAGGTCATCAGAAGGTTGTTGTTTTATATGACCAAACCATCGAAAGCGACTCTCTCTAATCTTATATTTCACTGAAGCATATGGAGTCCAGTACAGATGTTTCCTCTTCTCCATAAGTTTGTTACCTGCAGCCTTATAAGCACTTGCATTATCTGTCACAACTTTTACAACCAAATGTTCTCAAACCTCCTCAACAATGCTATCTAATAATATAAATATGAACTTAGCATCTCTGACCTGATCAGATGCTTCAACTGACCTTAAAAACACAGTAACATAAGGATTATTAATGAAAATGTTGATCAGACTTCTATATTTGAAATGAGACCACCCATCTGATATAATTGTTACTCCTGTTTTGGCCAATGTCCTCTTAATTTCTTCGATGTTTTTATCAGTGATTTCCAACTCCTTCAGAATCCATGTTCTCAAATCATACATGGTTGGAGTTTTGAACCCTCTCCCAAATGCTCTAATTGAACGAATCATGTTGTAATAGGCAGGTGATGTTGTAACATTAAATGGAATTATATTTTCGTAGAAAAATCTACCTATATCCTTACACACTCTTTTTCGTGCCTGCCTTGCATTTTCTGTGGCCATCTTCTGTGTAGTAGAAGGCCTATCCTCTGATGTGTCCACCATATAATGATCCATAATGCTTCACTTATTCTACATTAAAAAAACTTACACAAAGCATGCATTTATAAAGAAGCAGGTTAACACTAACAACTATTACTAAAGATGATGAATACAACAATATGTCGATTTGCCAGGGGTCCAGGGGGCACTACCCCCTGACGGGGTTCGAGCGGTACCGAGCATGTACCTAGTGGTACAAAGCATTATTGTACCGAGTGGTACCGAGTAGTACCGAGCATGTACCAAGCGATATCGAACGATATTGAGCAGACAGACTGATTGGGGAATCTTACTTAGCAGAATATGGAGGTCCTTATGATAGAACGGACCGATCTTGTATTTCACAATAAGGTGATAGATGGAACCACGAAAAAGAAGAGCTTTCAACGGTCAGTCGAAGGAGACTCCAGCCCAACTCACGGTAGAAGAGAACTCCAAACAATAGGTGAAGAGCAACTCACGGTGGAAGGAAGACGACGCTAGTCGAATGGAAGGAACTCAGGAAGAGGGGAAAATGACGCTCGAAGAAGAACGAAGAAAAACTAGTTTTGGTTTGTAAATGACCAAAGACGCACGAGGGTGGGGGGGCCGAACCGAATAGATATATATTAGGTTAAGGTTTTTTTAAAATTTTAAGAAGCGGGCGCCTCTGAAACATGAGGCGAGGCGCGCCTCAGTGAACTTGAGGTGTACGCCTTAATGCCAGCTCTCATTGCGTAGGCTTTGAGGCTTAAAAGTTTAAAATTACACTGAAGACGCACCTCTTATTGCGCAATTTTAAACCATGGAATAGACTGTAAGAACACTTCTATCCTGTTGCAAAGCTCAACACCATTAGGATTCTTCTTTCCTTAGCAACAAATTTAAATTGGCCCCTACATCAACTAGATATCAAGAATGCATTCTTGAATGGGAATCTGAAAGAAGTCTATATGGAGATTCCAATGGGGATTCATAAGTCTTACAAAAGGGATAAAGTGCATAAACTGTTGAAATCCTTGTATGGATTAAGGAAAGCATGGTTTAGAAGATTCTCAGTATGTAAAAGGTCATGGTCTTAAACAATATCAGACAGATCGACCATATCTTGTTTGTGAAACAATCATAAAGAGATAAGGTAGCAGTACTTATTGTATATTTGGATGACATCATCTTTACTAGAAATGATATAGAAGAAATAATTGTAGCAGAAGAAATATAACCAAAAATAAAGGCATTGAACAAAATCAACAACAAAACGATAATCTACTATTACATATGAAATTGGATCTCGACTAGTAAAACAAAAAATAATTTTTGATGGAAAATCACAAGTTCTTATCCTGCCTCTGATACCACATGTTAAAATTTTCTCTATTGATGGAAGGATTTTCTTAATCATGCAAATCAATTCAATTTTCCGCAAAAACCACAATGCCCAAGCTTGGATAAGATGATTTTTACAAAACTGTAATCCGAAGAAAGTATGCCTCCATTCCTGATCATCTTCTTCATGAAATTTGATCAAAGATGAGAAAATCTGAGAAAATAGATTTCTTTTCCTTTTTACCCTTTCTTGTTCTAGCAGCAATTTCTTTCTTATGCAGAAAGCTAGCATTCAGTGGGGTAGATAGAGGACCAGTAATTTCTAATTTAGTTATTTAATCAAATGGTCCATAAATATTTGCCATAATTAGGAAAATTAACTTTATTTTAACCAATAAGAATTTGACACATAATAATTATTTAAACCATGTTTATATTTTAAGTCTAGTGAGCAACTTAATATATAGAAGTAAAAAAAAAAACATTTCTAATATCAATGTCTCCAAGCATAACTCCAGAAGCTCCCTTGAGGAGCTTTCAATTAAATATTATCACTTTCTCAAAAACATATATTAAACCCCCTTCAAAACTGACAACTTATCCTATAGATAACTGCCAACTTATGTATTAAGGTTTTATATTCTGCATGTATGAGGAATAAAATTATTTAAAGACTAGACAAGTTTAGCTAAAAATGGCACAAAGAGTGTTTGTGCAAGAGGCCTTGCGATTACCAATTGTTTTTTGCCCATTTGTATCCATCAGTATCAACCACATGCAAGCTCAAAGCATGCCTTGAAGTAGTAGATTTATTCTCAAAGCTGCTAAAACAAGAAGATTGCTTGATATGGTGATATTGATTAAATACTGGTGATGGAAGGATTATAGAAGCTTTACCTTTGATGTATAAGGTCACCATGTATAACGATTAAAGTTCCTGCTTTCACTTCGAGAGGCACAAACTCCTTTTGATCATAGAATGGTGAACATTGATCAAAGTGAACGCCATTGTCATCTCTTATAAATCTCCGTACAAGACCGTCTATATTGGAAACAGAAGGATGGATTTAATTTTACATTATTACATCAATTAAGAATGAAGCAGAAAAGGTAACTATATGAAGAATTTTTACTCTTGTGAGATCCTGGGATAGCCCAAAGGCAGCCATTAATTATGGTAGCATCTTCTAATGCCAACCACAAGCCCGTGCAAGATGGAGGCTCGGTATAGAGAAAAGAATTATCCTGATGCGGTACCACTTCTCCACCAATGCCTGGTTGCTAAATTTTTAAGTATGCATATTAGATAAAAGGGGTAGTAAACTGGAAAAAATTTTAAGAATCACTTATAAGAGTTTCTTGAAAACCAAAGAAAAAATAGTTTAATCTCCACATGCTAAAGCAGTCAATACTTGTTAAAATGAGATGAACCTAGAATCATGAAATACAAATACATTAAGGCTTCGTTTGGAACAGTTTTTTTACTGCTTCTTAAAGCAGCATTCTAATAGAACAAATAAAATTTTTATACTAGAAAACTGTTTTAAGAAGCAGTAAGAAAACCGTCCCAAACGAAGCCTAAATCTCAACAGATGATGAAATCCTTCAACTTTAATATACACCAACAAAATAAAGATTGAAAAAAATGTGACTCCATGGGAGTGTTAAAATTATCTCAAAAGCAATTTAGTTTCTTCATAATCAAAACGAGTTTGTAGATAAGTTCAGACCACATCATTACTGCCCAAAATCAACTATCAGAATGATCTTATGGAGGTACCTTAAATATATACATCGACTGCATAACTGCAGGCCTCTTGTATCCTAATGAAACAAATATGCTTGAGATCTTTTCAGAACTTGAAAACTTTTTGAATATAGGGTCAATTTCATGCAAAGCTGCAAAAGAAAATAACCAATGAGATTCAAGGAAAAAATAAAGAAATAATTACAACACCCCAAGTTCAAGGCATGCTTATATTATTTTAAGAGTTAATAAAAAAATTTGACCAACTGCTCTCATAATTAAATTTTAAGATACAAAGCATGAATTAAGTTGAACATTTATCATTTTATGCAGATAGTGACCATAGTGTGTAATCACCTAAATATCACTTTCCGCTGATTTTTTTTAATCTAAATTGCTGAATCAGTCCTTAATGCTGTTAATGGATGATTAATGAATTTATTCATACACAACTAAATTTATGAAACATTGATCTCATTAACAGAGCCACCTAACTTCACATGCTTAATAAATGCTCCTCTTATCACATAAAATTATGGATTATGCTGTTTTAGTACTTTCATGTATAGATAGATCAACTAATTATTCTTGTTTTTTGTTTGGATGCTAATAAAAAAATTTCTAAAAATAAAATTTTGTAAGGCTTACTCTCAAACATATATATATATATATATATATATATATATAATTATGGTATAGATGTACGCGCATGCATTGATGTAGGTATGACCAAACTATTAAAAGACATACATACCATGGCCAACTTTATTAATGGAGAGCTCCTTTGGCTGCCTCAATCTTCCATCATCCCCAAATGCTTTCTCTGAAAAAAATAAAAAAAAAAAAGAAGTTGTGGAAATAGGTTCTTACAATTGGAATTAGAGTTAACAAGTAAAAAACAAAAGCATAAGACATCAAAGCGAGAGTAACTAATTGAGACATGAGCCAATATATGTGTTTTCCAGATCAAATCGAGAAACCATTATCATTAATATTTTTTAGAAAAAACTGACCCTAGACATTTTAGATGAGGCTAGATGTATTCGTGAAATAGAGACTCATCACGCCTTCATATGCATAACTTTCTTGCCCTGAATAGCAAAACTCAATTCCTTGAACTAAAAAAGCGGATGCGTTTCCAATCATTTATAAAAATTAATAGCAAGTGTCAACATGCCATTTAAAAGTAAATTTTAATGATATAAAGTGAGAAAATTTACGATCAACGAGTATCTGGCAAGATTCAAAGCTTCCAGAGCAATGATATATATTCATAAAATTAGTGAGTGATAGAAGAATGGAAAAAACCTTCGAAGAAGAACGAAATCTTCTCTGCACTCTCGAAGAAGTAATCATCCGTAAGCTTTTGCTGTTGTTGTCGAAGACCAGCAAAAAATTAGCATAATCAAATCCACTCCTTCTTCCTCATCCCCTCCCACGAAATGCCTAAATAAACCACATACCTGGTTCTTGGTGGAAAAGATGGAAGCTGAAGAGGAGGCATCGAAACCGTCGAGCAGCTCCACCATCCGACTCCTCATCTCAAGGATCTCTTCAAGGGAATAAAATGATTCGATAACTAGAAACCCTAATTCCACAGAAGGCGCTCACAATCATTAATACTCCATAAATTGAAGGAGAATCGTTATTCGTTACCAGCAAACTCACGGAAAAGAATTACAGGGAAAGTTTAATACCATTGGAGTTGAAGGAGCTGAGCTGCTCTTTGCTTAGATTCCCGGTGATCCCCATCGCTTCCCCTACTAAGACGTTGACGGCAGCTCGAGGTGTTCGTCGGAAGATTTATCTCAAATACGCGACGGCAGCTTAGAAAATAAGACAAAAGAAAGGATGAGTCCGAGTTCATACGAATTACTCCTTTGGTTCTACATATTATATTAGATGATCTTAATAATTAATTTATTAACTATTTATTTAGATTAATGCATCACCAAAACTCTGATCCAATTATATGTGAATATCAGCTTAGTATTTGCATAAAAATGTGATTTTTTGTTTTTTTTTTTTGAAATATAGGCCTATTAAGATTTTGTTTGGTGCAGCTTCCGTACTACTCTCTAAAATGGCTTTCTAGCATAAAATTTTCTACTCCAATAAATTTTTTGTACTCAAAGTTGTTTTAGAAAGCGATAAAAAAGCTGTTACAATGAAGTCTAAGACTTTGTTTGGAACGACTATTTTATTGCTTTCTAAAACAGAGTTTTTTTTATTTAGGAAGCAATAAAAAAATCGTCTCAAGTGTAGCCTAAGTCAAACTCACGCAGGCATCACATATGCAACTCTAGCCCAAGATGTTTAAGTTGATAGCCAAAATTCTTAACCAATGGGCCAAGATGAGCTTTATAAATTTTAGATTTTCAGCATCATTAGAATTCCACTTACAATATTTATATAGTTGAATAGAAAATAATTCCGAAGATACTAAATCTATTTTTATCCGATTCCAAATGAGCTCAAAAGTCAAGAACTTGAAGTGTAGTTGAGAACTTAATACTATTAGTATTTGTTGTGTAAAACAATCTCCAAATCATATTTGCTTATAATCAAAAAGATCGTATCGATGAGAGAAATCTAATGAGCTCACCCAAAATCACTTTAGTTCTTATGTTATTAAGGCTCTCAAATGCTAAAGAATAGTTTTTGATTGAAGGAATAAACAGAAGCTGCTCCATTACATGTTTAAAACTTTTGGTTGAAATTATCATAACATCAATTCATAAAACTAAGTATATGCATCCTTCATATGAAAAGGAAATGAAATTTATAAATCTAAAAAAGTATGGAGCTCCATTTAATGATCATTGGTGATGATCACCTCTAGCAGTTGTCATCGCCCACACTTTATCGCTCATTCGTATCTGCTCGACCATCTTTATTTTTTTATAATAGTTGTCTGATTGTTGTTGTCATTTGATCATCATTATTCAATTATTTTCACCCAACTGATATCAACCAACCACCATTGTCTAATCATAATATTTTGACTATCACCACTTAAATAAGCATCATCACCAGACTCTTTTAGTCTAATCACCAATTCTTGACTGTCATCATCATGTTTTACTATATTACTCCAGTATTCTTAGAGTAATAAATTAAATAGGTTAATTAAACTATTTAGTTAAAAGTTAAAAAATTAAACAAGAATGTTAAGAAGTAAATAAAGGATTAATTAATAATCAGTATAGAGAATTAGCCTAATTAATCTTACAATTATCAATTAATACTTTATCTGTCAAATTACTTGATTTCTTAATCAATCCTTTACTGTATTATTAGCTAAATTATATAAGGATTATTAAGTAGATGTTTACCAATTAATTAAAATAATGGATGCTTTTAAGTTATAAGGTTTAGCTAACACAAGTTAATTGATTGTCAGCTGTGCCTTATTAAGTTTTTCTTTAATTCCTTATGATGTTCTCTTGTTACATAACATTATTGAGATACTTCTTCATGTTAACCATCCATTCTTGACTTTACAAACTATATTCTCATATGTATTCTTCTTCTTCTTTTATATATCAAGATACTCGAACATTATATCTAGGAATTAACTTATTTCCTAAAAGTATCCACTCATAATTACCAATAAAAGATCCATTAAATTTGTAAATCATGTGTTTTGCTTTTTTTATCAATAAGAAAAAATTTTTTCAATTCTAAATTTTCACTTATTTATGTACTAAAAAGCTATTTTAAGAAGCAACAAGAAAGCCGTTCCAAATGAAGCCTTAGGCTTCGTTTGAGATGATTTTTTTACTGCTTCTTAAAACAGTTTTTTTAGCACAAAAATTAATTTTTTTTCTACTAAAAAGTTGCTTTAAGAAGTAGAAAAAAAGCCGCAGGCTCTCTCTGGTCCTATAGAACAAGATCCATAGTGATCACCAATAATCTCCACAAGAACAAGATCCATCTTTGAAACGGTGGAACCTAATCCTGTCCCTAACAATTATTTCCCGCTCATACACCATGGATATGAACTTTGTGGCCTTGTGGCAGTCCAAGCAGACGCGCAAGTTCTTTACAATCCGAATAGTCCTCCCTGCTCTTGTATTCATCAATCCAAAAGCAATGGCTAATTTCTCACTGTGTCTTGATAAAGCTGTCTCCTTATCTTCCACATCAACATCGACCAACACTTCTCCTACTTCTGGAACATAACCAGCTTCCTTTAATTTGCTTCCCATCTCATCCAAAAATGAGTAGATCGACTTTGTTTGTGGGTGAGACCTGTCTCCAACCAGAAACTGGTGGAACATCCCATCCACTTCAATGGAGCTGCAGCCCGGAATCTTCCTCTCACCTGCAACCTCAATTTTCTTCCTCACCTCATTTGAATCATTCCATCTACCACATCCCGAGTAAATGTTCGCTAGTAAGACATGGCAACCAACATGTTTGGACTCGAACTCCTCGACGAGTTTTCCGATCCTTTGTGCCCTCTCCAGGTCCTTGTGGATGCGGCAGGCGCCAAGTAATGAACCCCAAGTTGCAGCATCTGGAGCCATGGACATGTTTGATATGATATCCTCCGCATCTTGCAGAAGCCCAGCTCGTCCGAGAAGATCCACCATGCAGCCATAATGCTCAAGCTCAGGCTCAATCGAATACGCGCTCTTCATCATATCGAAGTAGAATTTACCCTTTTCCACAAATCTTCCATGACTGCAAGCAGTTAGCAGAGATACAAATGTTACTTTGTCAGGAAAGACTTTAAATTGATCCATTTTTTCGAAGAGTTGTGTTGCTTCGGCAGAGTAACCATGAATGGCAAGACCGGTGAGTATGGCGTTCCATGGACGTACAATCTGCTTTGGGCTATCTGCTTTGTTAAACAGGTCGAATGCAAAGTCTATTTCGCCGCACTTTGCATACATGTCTATTAGACTTGCAAGCAACCTGTCATTCACTTTGATCCTTGCCTTGTTTATGAAAGCATGAATCCATCTTCCTTGATCCAAAGCCACTAAATTAGCACAGGTTGCAAGAATGGTTGACAGGGTGAATTCATTTGGTGCAATGCCAGCGAGCTGCATCTGCTGGAAAAGCTGCATGGCTTCCAAGAACCAGCCTGTCTACACATAACTAAAGAATTTTATATGTGAGTTTCAAACCAGAAGAAAAACGTAAAGATAATGATACTATTTCAAAATAGTGCTATGCATGGCTTTGATATTTTTAGGTGCTTGCAAGCTGCTCGCCAGTGATCTCTCATATCTTAGAGGATAAATGTTTGGAATAAATTTAGGATCATAAACGTCAGGATCAGTTGCTTGATTCCTCCGCAGTCTTCCTCCCTCTGCCTGAGTACGCAATACTGGTGCGGTTACTCGGATCATGCCAGAGATGGGTGCTGGTCACGGGGTGCGCTGGAGGAGCAGAGAGGCGAAGGCGCCATTATGGTTGCCAACGTGTCTATTTTGTCTATGAAACGTATGAAATTAGCACATGAATTATCTAATCGATCAAGTGATGCATTCGCTTGAGCTGTCCAAAAGGCTTCATGTCTTCGATTGTCATTGATGGCCCATCTTCTTTGGCGTCAATGATCGTCGACAACCCATCTTCTTTAGCTTCAATCGTCGTCGTCAACCCATCTTCGGTGTCGATCGTCGTTGACAACCCATCTTCTTTGACTTCAATCGTCGCCGCAGCCCATCACTTTTGCAGTCCGACATTCTTTGGAAGCTCCAAACTCTAATACTAACTGATGTAGTTGATTGGTGGAAGAAAGGATTTGCTAGAAGACCAAAGAACAACAGGAATAACCCAAATAACTAAACAAAGAATGTGCATCTTTCTATATCCCTCCTTACAACATTGTTTGTATATATAATGACAATAGAATATTCTAAAACGTAGAAATGTAAACTAGACCTATGTTCTATTATAACTATGATATTCTATATCACAGAATATGGAAGACCACCAAAAGTGGGTTTTATGCAGCGAATAATCAAAGAAGTGCATGGTAAAAGAGGCGCTCCAGATAGAAGTGAGTACACTTTCTCTTCTGAATCCACAACGATTGTGTTGCTCTATCTTCTCTATTGCCAAGTACTGAGAATGAAGTGAGAGAACCCATTCACGCAAAAAAAAAAAAAAAACTTAGTGAATTTAACCCATGCAGTACACAACATGGATTCCTAGTGCAATTCACATCGCAGAGACCATTGGACATGGGAAGGAGATCACCGGTATTATTATTATTGCTGTGTCAAGGAATGTTTTTCAATTGATCTAATAAGGTTATTCAACCACAACTACCATTACATCTACGACTAATGACATGGTTAAGTTCAAGCACATATAGATTCGTGTATTTGCCTGCACATATCCCGCAATCATCGTGCTCCAAGAAACCACATCTCTTTCAGGCATTTCATCAAACACCTTCCTTGCACCCTCCGCATCCCCGCTCCCTACATAGACTCCAACCATCAGATTCCACGAGAATAAATCCCTCTGAGAACATTCATTGAAAATTTTCTCCGCATCACCCGCCAATCCCCAACTCCCATACATTTTAATCAAAACATTCGAAACAAACAAATTGGTTTCGAACCCACGCCGAACAGCATGTCCCCTGACCTGTTCCGCTTCACCGAGCTCCAACCCACTACCATGCCGGCAGGCAGCAAGCACAAAGGTGATCGTATACTGGTTAGGCAGAGGAGCAGATGAGTCACGAAGCAGAGAACGGAAGAGGCGGAGGGAGACAGAGTTGGAATGGGCTTTGATGAGAGAGTTGTAGGAAAAGAGAGGAGGTGAAGGAGAGTGGTGAAAGAGGAGGTCAGCATAGGAGAGAAGGGGAGGGGTCGATGGTAGGGAAAGTTGGACTTGAAGCAGTTTGCTTGGAGGGAAAGGGTGGAGGAAGAGGCCGGAGGTGAGTAAGAGAGCGTGGGCTTGCTTGATCTTAGCAAAGGTGTTGCACGAGGAAGCTTCGAGGAGAAAGAGAATGGGATTTTGGCGAGATATGAAGGGGTAGAGATGGCGAGGAGACTTGGAGGGAGAGGGCATGGCGGGGAGGGAGAAGAGAGGGGGTTTTGCCGTTGGCATGTGAGTTCACAGTTTAGTTATTGAGGGCTCTTTTGGCATTAATTATTCTCTGCGGATGCCGAATGTAGTTTCACGTCATCTCTTTGTTGTGTATCGCGGCACGGTATTGCTCAATACCGCTCTGTACAGCGGCTCGATACCGCTGATATGGCTGCACCTGATTCGCCTCCGGACATAGGGCTGCATCCGGTCTCTGCATAGAATAATTTCTCCTCATTTGATTTCTTCTTATTAATTAAAATTATTATTTTTTAAGCAAATAATGATTTATTCTTTAAACAAATTCTTCTTGATGGCTCATAGAACTTGTCAGCACTACTAAAACAATATCTAGATAGCTAGGTTCTCATTAAAAGAACACACCAAATGAATGCGTCCTCAATTCAGAACTTGACAACATTATAATTAAAGATTAGTTCGGGCCTAATTTACCAAATACAAAGCCAATTATAGTTGGATATGTTTGTTACACAGACTTTGTCCTTAATCATTAGTTGGATTTGGGCACATGAAAAAATAACTTTAAAATCTCATTATATTTCTCTACTAAGACTTAGGCTTCGTTTGAGATAGATTTCTTATTGCTTCTTAAAACAGTTTTTAATTAAAAAATTAAAATTTTTGTACTATAAAAATGATTTAAGAAGCAGTAAGAAAGCTGTCCCAAACAAGGCCTTAATTTGGGACAACATTCTTTATGTTTTCTAAAGCATTTTTCCAGTGCAAAAATTTCTAGCATAAGAAAGTTTTGTACTAAAAAAATGATTTAAAAAATAGTGAGGAAGCTGTTCCAAATGAAGTTTAAATCTCTTTCTCTCTAAATTAATTTTTTGTATTATGGTTTGACTCACCCTTTCTAGTATCAAAGGGTTGAATTAGGCTTTTCGCAAATCAATTCTCTTAGGGTCCCAATGAGATATTGTTTCTCTTATTCTAACAGCTTAGCTTTGATTCATTTGTCTAATAAAGTCTTGATATTCTTCCCCAAACAACACGCAACCTTAACATAATTAATATCTAGTACATTTCACATATCATTTTATAATTTATGTTTGCATTTTAGGTACATGTTGTAACAATCTTAATTAAATTTTTTTTTTTTAAGAAATAAATTTTACATGTGAGAGTACTGCGGTTCTGTGCTTGTGATCACAACAATGTTAAGAGCATTGCAATGAAGGAGGAGCGACGCCACGGCTTTGAGCTCCCGAGTCTTGGGGGGAAAAATAAGCAAAACGGCGCTGACTTTGGTGCCATGGTGCTGATTTGAAACATCAATTTTTAATATAAAAATGTCTGAATCCATTTCATCAAAACCTTAACCCAACCATTGCTCCCCCTCATTTCAGGTGCTTGCTAGTAGGGGTGTCAATTTCGGGTCACGGGTCAGGTTCGGGTCGAACCCGGAACTGACCTGGCACTATTCGGGTTCGGGTCAACCCGAACCCAACCCGATTTTGCAAACGGGTCAGTTTTTAAGACCCGAACTCAACCTGCTTCGGGTTCGGGTCAACCCAAACCCGAAATTTTTGGGTCGGGTCCAATGTTGACAGGTCTACTTGCTAGGGAAGAAAGGGAGAGGAGATGGGAGAGAGAGAGAGAGAGAGAGAGAGAGAGAGAGAGGAGAGATAGAGAGCCCACTTCAAATCATTTTCTTTCATCGCTCTAGTTAGAAAAAGTGCACTAATCATGGTAGGTAGCTCGAATTATATTTCTATTTTCAATGAGTTTGATTTCTCAAAATTTATCTCTCCTAAATTTGATTAAAATATCACATCTCTCATCCTAATGATTTTTTACCATATAACTTTTGTTATGTAATAGACATCATCATCCTGAACATTTTGATTGGTTAATATTAAAATTTCACCATGAAATTTTGAATGTATGCGAAATTTTGAATGTATGCTATTTTAATTGAAATGAGTAGCATAATGTTGAATATAAAATAATCACAAGTCATTGTGTTATATTTAGATATATACTCACAAGATGCACATGTTTATTATTCAGTTAGTGCAACATGCATTTTTGTACACTATAAACATATTATTAAGTGTACTAACAACTGCATTGAGTGTATATAATATTTTTATATTACTTTATATGGTGTGAAGTGTGTGCAAAGGAAAGAAAAAGTTGGCAGGAAATAATTGACTAATTCAAGTTAGTTGGAGACATATTATCATGTATGAGAGGGTGGACCAATAGGGCTACCATTTAAAAAAAAAAAAAATTAGTGTAATCCTAAATGATATGAAAATGGATGTATAAGAAAATTGATTTACTGATATGATATAATATACCGATGGGAAGGAAGTGATGACTTCTTATATGAAAGCTACCTTGACTGACTTGTGATATGTGATATGAGACTGATTTCTAGAATCATGATTGATATAATTAAGATGAATACTTGTGTTGTTGGCCTAGAGAATTGGATACAGAAAAAACACCATAGGTAGTCAGATGTCCTATCTTGCTTGCATTTCTTACATATGCATATGATAGGGGTATATATATGATAAATTGAACAAATGATATGGCATGATATGATTTATATATGATACATGATATGATTAATATATACACATGACATGACTAATAAGATCGATACAATAATATAGAATTCACATGAATCATATGACATACCCGATACACATTGCATGTGATATATATATAAATCACTAATTATGAGCATGATTTACATGATACGCTAATATATGATACATATGTATTATATAATATACATCATTGAATATTGGATATGAGATGCATGCATACCTCAGATATTATATGATATGCATATGATAATGATAGATATGTTGATTTCATAAAATTATATATATATGATACAACCTATTGATCCTCATATGTTACTGGTTACTGATCACTATTCATAAGGTATACAACCACACTAAAAAGTTGGATATGATCTCAATCATTTGTAATTAAATGGACTGACACAACTGCAGAGGCACAATTGTCATGAAAATTAGAGAAGATCTCTGTTCTTCTTGCTAAATCAGAGTTATAAAAGATGAAATTTGCAACATTTACATAATTGATGGTGATACAAAATTTTCTACAAGTTTAACGAAGATATTGAAAAACAAGTAGTATGATCACAACAAACGTTCTCAGGACATTGGTGACATCCATTCAGTAATGCAAGCATCGCTTGCTTGAAAGATTATTTTAAGTTCAGCAAAAGAAGAAGATGATTGCGATCGTGAGTTATCAAAGTCACCACTTTCAGAAAGCCCATGAAGGAGGAATTGTAACTATGCAGATATCTATGATGACAGTAAAATACTTACTTTTGGTAATGTTCTGCTTATTCTATGTAAGAACATAGCTACTCTTACAAAGATGGATGGGCTGCACCACGCGTAATCTATGGCCGGGACAATAAATTTTGTGCTCTTTTACTCGAATCAATGCTCTGATGCGGAGACGAACCAAAAAAGAGTTTTTAGTCATACTTCAGCAGATATCTTCAACAGACTTGATATCCTGTTCCATAACTTTTAACATGTTATATATGCTTCCAGATTCTGAATGACTTTGGTCCATAACATGAAATTCATGAACTTGTCCATTAATTTCCAGCCAGCTATATCCAGGCATCTTCTTCAAGCCTTTACCTTTAAGACCATTTCTCATCTTTGCAACACCTTCCCAATTCCCTGCAGAAGCATATATATATTCGACAGTAATACATAATTTGCTGCATTCTCTGGTTCCAACTCAATGAGCTTCCAGGCAGCAAATTCTGCCAGGCTAGCCTCTTTGTGGAGCTTACAAGCACTCAACAATGGCCCCCATACACGAACATCAGCCTTAAATGGCATTTTTTCTATGACATTTACTGCGGCTTCAAGATGCCCCGAGCGCCCCAGAAGATCCACCATGCATGCATAATGTTCTTGACCGGGCTGAATGCTAAATTTATCTACCATCTCAGAGAAAAATGCCCATCCTTCTGTCACTAAGCCCGAATTTACGCAGGCCGTCAATAGAGCAAGGAAGGTCACTTGATCTGGCAGAACTTCCGATTCTTTCAATTGCTCATACAATTTAAAACATGGTTTCCAATATCCATGTTTGGAATAAGCTCCTATAATCGAGTTCCATGACATAATGTCCCTCGATTCGATATCTCCCTCATCAAAAAGATTTTGTGCCATCTCAATACATCCACATTTTGCATAGCTCACAAGAAGAGCTGTGTTTATAGATATTAGTAAATTCAATCCCTGTTTTATTGAATAAACTTGTACATTCTTCACCTGCTCAAGAGCTCCTGAACTTACGCATGCAGGCAAAATGTTAATGAGAGTTATGGAGTCTGCTCTAACTCCACAAGTTCCCATGTCTTTAAAAAGTAGCAAAGCCTCAAGTGGAAGTTCGTTGCTCACATAACCCTTAATCATTGAGCTCCATGAAGCCATGGTTTTTCTTTCCAAAGAATCAAATATTACTCTGGACTTCTCTGGATTTCCACACAGGGAATACATCTCTATAAGAGAGTTATGTACTGAAATCTGACAGTCTGATTCATGTCTGATCACAGCACCGTGAAGCTGCTGACCAAACTCAAGAGATTTCAGTTGTGTAACTGCAGCAAGGGAAGCAATTGCAGTGAACAAATCAGGCCTTAGCCCTAATTTAGCAACATCTCTTAACAACTCCAATGCCCGCTTTGGATGCATACTTTGAGAGTACCCTGATATCATTACATTCCACACAGCAAGGTCCTTGACGACCATCTTATCAAACAATAACCTCGCTGCCTCCAAGCTACCAAACTTACAATACATAGTCAAAAGTGCAGTCATAATTGATAAATCAGCAACCAAATTATACAAAATTATCAACAGGTGGAGACTCCTTCCCATTTCTAAGCAGTTCAAATCAATGCATACACGCAAGAGGCAGATGATGGTAGAGGAATCAGGCACGAATCCTTCAAATATCAATCTCTTGAAAAATCTCAAACACTCCTTACCATCACCATGCTTACTGAACACAGACAAAACCTCATTCCAAGAAGTCGAGTTTTTAACAGGAATTCGCTCAAACACTTGTCGTGCATCATTGATAGCACCATGTCTCCCATACATATATACTAAAGAAGTACCCACATCGAGATGGGCATCAAAACCCAGTTTTTCCACCAGAGAATGAACCTGGAGACCAGCTTCAATCGAGGATAAATTCGAGCAAGCTCTAATAACACAAAGGTAGGCTGTCTCATCTAGAAAAAGGTATTTAGCCATTATTTGCCGGAAAATTATGAGAGTTTTTTCATATTTCTGATGAGATGAGAGGATTCTAAGCATTGTAATGCAGAGAGAAGCATTGGGATCGTCAATGGAGTCAAATACTTTGATGGAAAGGTCGAGGCAACCGAGATTGCTATATCGGGTGATGAGTTCGGAGGAGAGGGAAGAGTTTTGGTGGAGTCCGTGTATGATGAATCTAGAGTGTATTTGATGGAGGAGCTGGGGATTGCTGCAAAGGGAGAGGGGGGAGGAGAAGGAGCTGTAGAGTTTGGAAATGGAACCGTGAAGTTTGAATTTTGAAGAGGGGAGCTCTCTCGACCGTTGGAAGAGGTGCATGCTTCGGTTAAGAAAAATTCTTAATTACAAATGGAGGAGAAATTAGAGAGGGAAGAGAAAAATCGGTCCCATACTTTCTCCAATTAAGATTATTGATATATGATTTTTTTTTAATTTGCATTATTAACTGATTTTTTTTTTAATTTGCACTATTAACTGATTTTTTTATTCTAATTTTGTAATATTTGTTGGTTGTAGCTATTAATTTTGAAAATTATAGACCATGTCATTGTCTCTTATTGAAATAATTCAAACTAAATAATATGTGATTTTGTAGTCTCTAATGATAGTATTGATTATAGTTTCATGAAATTTAGAGCATTTTTTTCTCTTAATTGAGAATATTGAACAATATTAGGATTGAGATATTAGACCCAAATTTTTTTTTCTAAAAGCTATGGTTGATAGCCAATGGATTCACCAAGCTTTTCATTTCCTATAATTTGTATTTATAGTTTTATTGAATATCATTTTGTAACATATAATTATCATTTTTCTGAATTTTTTCTCCTATATATAGAATATTTGAGTGAGTGTTCGATAATATAATAACAAATAAATTCATTTAGCTAATGCAAGTTATCTTCATATTTCAACATTTGAGTTTATGCATGATCACCACTATGAAAACTCCTTCCTTGGATGCACTAAAAGTCATGAGCACTTTATTGATCTACCAGAATATATCTTTCAAAAGTAAAGTTAAAAAGCATGAGAGTTGCCCTAATTGTTCGAAGGCATAAAAAATCATCAATCCTTAGATTTGGATGCTAGCATTCGAGAGTTGATGAAATGTGATGTCTAATGCGAGGCATAGGTCCTCACTAAATGTCACCTAGTGAATTCCAATTGACTATGAAGGTTGGTGATTGACATCAATAGGAGGATATTGGTTGACATTTAATTGTTGATGCACAATGACATGGTCAATGAATGTTTCATATTATTCATAAAATTTATGTCATCCTTTAGGGTTATTCTACCTTACATGTGGCACAATCAATTACTCCAAGGATATGAGTATAATTTCTCTTAAGACAATTCTCTCGATAGACCTTTTGTAGTTACATCAGAAGCAACTCTTTAGAATTTCTTTCAAGTGCCCTTCTCAAGAAATTTTACAACATATAATTCAACTTTGCCCTTGATTATCACTTCATGTACATTAATTTAACATTATTTTTTATTTTCACTAAACCTCAAAGCAATATTATGATTTTTTTTTTTTTGCATATTCCACTTCATCAAAACACCATTTTGGCACCTATCCACAACATATGCCTTATGAATTATTACATGTTACAAGAATTAATAACTTTACAAGGCTCCATAGTGTCATTTTTTACCCTTCCATAATTTCAGCTCATTAATATCATCATTAATATATTATTCTTATTACTTTATTTCTTTTAATTATACACTTGTGACATATCATCACTAGTTCAATTTTATAATTGCATGATTCATTGTAAATCACATAATGAAGGGTGATGATATCTCTAATATAGTTTTGATTCAATCACAATTAGCCATGTTTCCTTCAACACTTCAATCAAGAATCAACACAATTATTCATGATGTAAGCATGGAAGCTAGCCAATCTTAGAAACTTCATCTCTGAGTTAGAAGAAAAAAATGCTCCAATATTTGAAACTCTCTAGAAGTTAAACCATTTCTTATAAAATGAAGATTACAAGATAACTTTTTTAGTCCTAAAATTCTACCTCATATCTACACCAATTTTATTAGCAATAGGCTAATGAGAGGGACATTTCAATATCATAGAGTTGATAATAATGTTGTCATCTTTGATTTCATTCATGAAAAAATATCAAAATATAATTCTATTTATTGCTTCAACAAAAAATTTAGTCACACAGAGTTCATCAATAATACCATGGATATGTTTCTTTAAAATCTTGTAGCTAATTTGAGGAGATTAAAATCCTATTTCCATTATCATAGAATTCTTGTAGTGATAGTCACACTTAGATAAATCTTAAGAAGCTATCTAAGGAGAACTATAGCTAAAATCATGAATTTATGCAAGTTCTCTATCACTCATTGAGAAAAATAATAATAAGGCTTAACGACAATGTGTGTAATCCCCTTGTCATTTTTTCTCTTGAGCTCAACAAATGATTTATTGAGAAAGAGGAAAAATCTTTCTTGGAATCTATAAATCCATCCATGTTTATGATCTTTAGTTATCTTTTAAAGGGTGTGGTATCATGAAATAAAATAAGAAAAATCATTGTGTTACAAATTCTCTTAGTATTTTATGGGCTGCAGTTCTCTTATAAGAAGTTATTTGATTGTCGTTCAAAAAATGAGATCAATATAAACTACTCTTTTATGCACCATCTTCAAACCAGTGACCCATCTGAAGTTATAGATAAATTTTTCATCAATCAATTGAAGACGAATATATTAAATCACTTAAAATTTTAGGATGATGAACAACCTTCCATGATTCCATCCTCTAAACATTTTGAATAACCCTTTATGCTATCATGGGTGAAACATCCTTCCCTCTTTCTTTTTGATATGAACTCTATATTATAACACCTATTTGATTCTTGTAAGCATATCACATAGAATTTGCAGTTATAAATACCCCATTATTGCTCTCAGAAAGGACATTATGTGCACTTCTTGCACTATTTAAATGTTAAACTTTCTACTCTTTAAATCACAAACCTTCCTGCCTAGAATAACAATCAAACTTAAATGATTTTAATCTAGGTTTCATTTGAGATAGCTTTCTTATTGCTTTCTAAAACAACTTTCTAGTATAAACTTTTTTATACTAAAAAGCAACTTTTGAAAGTTATAAATAAGCTGTCCTAAATGAAGTCTTAGTTTACAAGTTATACTCTATTATCATTTATTCCCTCTAATTCTTTGTGTGAGTCTTCTCACCATCCCTCTCTATAGTGAGTAGGGCTGCAGACAAAACAAGCTAAGCCGAGTATGTGAGTGTTCATGTTTGAGTTCATTTATTAGCAGCTTGTTAAAGTTTCGTTTATGTTTGATTTGAGCTTTATTATTTGTGTTCATGTTTTGTTTGTTTGAATTTAGGAGTGTTCATGTTTAGTTCATTTAGTGTTTATTGAGCTTTAAACAACTAAGCCTTAACGAGCTATAAACATGCTCTACTTCTAGATGTTCATTAACTTAACAAATGAATTTTATCGAACCTTCTAACAAACAATTACATCGAGCATGTTCGTGAACATATTTAGCGAATTTTTTTTTGTTAGTATATATTATAATATTTAATTACTTTAAATTTAATTATTTAACAATAATCACATCATTATGTTATAATAAATATAAAATATTTATATTATGTATTTTATTAATTTTATAATAAAATATTAGTTGAGTTTTTATTGAGCTTATTCAAGAGCTCTAAATCAAACACGAATCGAGCTTAATATCGAGCTTGTTCACGAATTTTAAATGGTGTTGTTCATAAACATAAATGTGCAAATACATTAGTGTTCAAACTTGTTTATTTAAGAATCGAGCATTTTAAATATTGTTCAAGATTGTTTGTTTAGTTTTAAAAAAAATTAAAAGAAATAAAAAGTTAATTAAACGATCACGAACCAGCTTTAATTGATCCGAATAATGAGTATCTCGTCGAACGTTTGGTTCGCTTGTAGTGGTTGTGTTCTCTGGGCTCTTGCTATTACGATTATAGTTCACATGATCAAACAATTATGAATTTCTTATGTTTAATATTCATGTGAATGACTTACTCTTAAGTTCTTAACAACCCTGTCACTGTGTAATTTGGAGACCATTTTTACTTGTTTTTCACGTGATTTCACCAAATTTCCAAATGAATTTATACCCTTCTTCTAGAACTACGTGCAATCACCACTGATATTGCGCCACGTAGCAGGCACAAAACTGCGGACCCGACCCGGCGAATATTGGGTAGGTCGCTCGTGCGTATTTTAAATCCATGACAACCCGGTAAGCTAGGTATTGGTCGATTTTGCTCGACAATAACGATAAATACCATTATGTGAAGACAAATACCGAGCAATACCGAGAAATATCGAGCAATACCGAGAAATACCGATCAATACCGAGTTTTTCTAGAGAAATACCGAGCTTTTCTAGAAAAACTCGGTATTGCTCCGTATTTCTCTAGAAAAACTCGGTATTGGTCGTCACAGAGCGGTATTTCTCGTTATTGTCAAGCAATACCTAGCAATACCTAGCAATACCGAGCAAATACCGAGCAATGTTCAAATTGCGTATTCGGTATTGAGCCGTTTTTCATTCGTAAGGCGAGGCGTAAAGCCTCAAATCAAAAGATTGCGTAAACATAAATGATAAATTTTTTTATATAATAATGAGTGAATATATAAACATAAAAAGCATAAGATATGAATGAAATCACAAATATCCACAATAATAAGACAACATGAAATATAGTTAAACCAAAATTCTATTCTTTCCAAATCCATTATTCTTTTGCATTAACATATAAATTTCAATTTCCAAAATAAATAGCAATAAATATCACATAAGAACTCACAAGTCATCAGACTGTCATTCACTAAGGGTTCTTCATTTGAATCATCAATTATGATGAACTGCTCTCTCCTTTCTCCTCTACTTATAAGAGTCGCAATTCATCAGTTTACTTAAGATTATGTAAGTTTTTAATATATATAGGCGTTAGGCGTAAGCCTATGCAGTGAGGGAGTGGGCTCAAAGCGGGCCTCAACCAAGTTGAGGCGCAAGCCTCATAAAAAAATCGAGCGTAAGCATCAGGCATTTTTCTACTGGATTGGCGCAAAGGCGGGACCTCAAGGCGAGCCTCATATTGCGCAATTTTAAACCATGATACCGAGTAATACCTAGCAATACGCGAACATAGCAATCCCGGGTTCCGGTCCGGGTCAAGTCGTCGGGCCGCGCGGTAAAGAATGAGAGCACGTTGCGACATGTTATTAGCGGCCGCACGTAGAGTTACG